CACTGGATCAAAACCCATCCCTTGTCGTTATCGGTTTTTGTTTCGAACCGGGTTGCAGAATTTCAGTAGTGGTCGGAGAAAGCAATTTGGAGACACGTTCCCACGAAAGTCAACCCAGCAGACATAGTGTCCCGAGGATGTGACGTAGAGGAGCTTACAACGTCCGTTTGGTTCGGTGGGCCTTCGTTCTTGCTCGACTCAGAAAATAATTGGCCTGTAAATAGACATTTCGAACTGCCGGCTGATGTAGTGTCGATGGAGTTACGCAAATCGGCACTAACTCTCGTAGTCAGCCCAGAGCCAAATTATTTGCTTCAGAAAACAGAGACCTTTTCGCCGCTCCTGAAGCTTCTGAGAGTGTTCGTGTGAGTTTTCCGTTTTATTCAAAGGTGCAGAAAGGTGTCGAAGCCCTTTGAAAAAAGTATTTTGCCAAGAGAACTGGATTTTAGTTAACATATCTAGTTAATGCTCAAGAAGTCTGCCGAAAAACAGTTTGGTCGTGCATGCGCTTCTTTCGCTGCAAGCCGCAACTCTTGACGCAAATTATGGGGAACTTGCCTTCGAGCTCTCCGCCCGTTCAATATTTGTGGGGTTGATTTTGTGGTCCCTTCGGCACAACGTATCGTATCCGTGGTAAGCCACCGTACAAGTCGTACGTGGCCTTGTTCGTCTGTTTTGCGTCCAAAGCGGTCCACTTAGAATTAGGGTCTGACCCAACCAGTGATGCGGTTTTGTTGGCATTTCAAAGGTTCGTGAGTCGTCGAGGGATTCCGGAGAAGGTGTTGTGCGACAACGCCACCAACTTCGTCGGCGCAGATCGGCACATGAGGGAGTTCTGAGCCCGTCTGGAGGGAACAGGGGGGCGGTTAAGAAACATTCGCATCAAAAAAGGATGCGAGTTTGCGTTCATACCGCCCAGAGGACCGCACTTCGGCGGAATATACTCTGGACATGAACATTCTGGTTGCCACCTGCCTGCCTTTTTAAGGAGAAACAGTCTTTCTTTATATGGCCTAATTTGCCCGCAATGAAAACACTTCAACTTATTCTGAAATTGTTTCTTCACAAATTTTGTTATTTTGTTTTTGTATGTGTTATCCCTAGGCTCTCGATTGCCTATAGCCTGCAACACTTTTGCACTTGTGTCCTTGCCAGCACCTTTTAGTTTAATTTCGTGATCTAGAAGCCGAGTCTTTACAAAGGCTAATGTTAAATTGCTCTCAGATAGAGTTTCTATCGCTGTTATTACCCCATCATAGCTAGTTGGAAGTGTTAGAAGCAAATGGGACACTTTGTCCATTTCATCTATCTTGGCTCCCGCCGCAACTAACTCAGTAACCAAATCATCAAATAAACGAAAGTGGTTTACTAGCGGAGTATCACCCTTCAATTTTAAAGACAATAGTTGTTTGCGTAATGAAAGTTGAGATGCCAGACTTTTACGCTCGTAAATAGTATCCAAATTTTTAAAAATTTCCTTAGCCGAGTTCCCATTGTTGGCAAACACTAAAAAAGAGTCACTCAAGTATTCAATTATAAGACTCTTTGCATTTCTCTCTGCTCGCTTCACTTCCTCACTTTCCTTATCACTTGGTTCCTCATCAATTACTTTTATCAAATCGTTTTCCTCTAACAAAGCCCTGACTCTAAATTTCCATATGGAATACTTTTCCCCGTTAAAAGGTGTTATATTTCTCTTTCCCTTTTCCATCTTCCGAGAATAACTGTTCTTCTTTTCGGTTGCTATGCGCTTCTCAAATTTTTTGTTGCTGGTCTGCTCTAACACTCGCACTGAAAAATGAAAAATGTGCGCCAATTTGGTGCGTCGTTATACATATATGTATATGTACGTTGTTCACTTATAAGCACAAATTTCAATAGTAATTATTTTGTTTAGACTTGATTTAAGTTTTAATTTGTTTCACTTTTTTTTTTATTTCACTTTTATTATTCGGTAACAATTAAAGCATTTTTCTATAGCACTTAGCTACAAATCGTGACTGGGCCCATAACCTATTGAATATATATAATTAATGTATATACAAACTCCAGGAACACACCAGCCCGATTTGCCAAATAGTAAAACACTTTAATTGTCTTTTTAGTTAATTTTTATTTCACAACCGCACGCTCTCGTTGTCTTCAAGTAAGTGGCAAGGGTACGCATGTGCATACAAAGGAAACAAAAACGTTCTTTGAAAGAGAGGGAGAGAACAAAGAGAGGAGAGGGCTTTGCCTCTCTCTGAGATCTTCATTGTTCATCCCCTTCCCACACACACACCATGTGTATATGTATAAGTGTGACTTTTGGTATTCTCAACACTCCTCATCGGCATCCTCGACCTCCGCGTAGTGCTCCATCTCCCTCATGTGTAATTCTTCGGCCTTCTTCACGCCTTCGGGATCGATGTGGCCTATAATTGCTGGTTGCAGTCCAAATGCTTGTCAAAAATCCACTCCAAAATAGGCTGGCTGCTCCAGGTAAGGACATAAATAGAAGAGAATGTGCTCCGTCCGTCCTCGGTATTCCATTGGTAGCTTGACCCGTCCTATAATTGACCGATCCTCTCCAGACTGCGGATAAGTAATTCTGGACGGGCACATCCAATGCCTCAACCAGCTCTCTGCCACCTTTACCAAGCAGACAAACACTCGCTCCAGTGTCCAACAACCTCGTCAGTTGCTTGGTCAGGACTCGGACTGCGGCGAATGGTCTGGGATCACGCGATAAACTCCGCTTCACGGCGGCCACTGCTTCGCGTCGGCAGACCCGACGTTTGCGAAATCGATCCCTGGCCTTCTGCACCTTGCGAGACACCATTCGCATCCCGTCTAGCTGATGCTCTGAGAAGATCCTATTCCTGATATCTAGGTACCGACGCATCCTCTCCGCATAAGGTAAGTATCGTAAATTAGTCTTATTAGTATTCTTAGAAGAAAACATTTATTTAACTCTACCAACTTTTCTTCTCGGCGGGACTCCTGTCTGGACGTCGACGGTTTTCCGCACAATCCGGACATTTGGGAGACACGGTGTCTGGCGTTCTGTTGCTGCGCAGTCCTGAAACCCGTGATCCCCGGCTCCACAATTCCAGCAGCCGGCTCGGAACGGATTCTTAAGCATCGCCCGGACTTCGTCCACCTCGTGCCATAGAGAATCCTCACCAGGATCTGGGCCAATAGCTTCGCTAACCTTGGCCTTCTCTGCCGGAGAATAGCGCATCGGCTGCGTGTACGTGGCCCGTCCACGTCGTCCAAAACTGCGTTCCACCTCGCAGCACTCTTGCCAGAGTTCATCCACCGTAAGTACATCCATCGCGTAGACAAACCTTGCGATGCTCTCCCTCAAGCCCTTTTTAATTATCCTAACCAACTGTCGCTCTGACATTGGCCTTTTCAGACGGGCCGCTAACTGCTGCATCGCGAGGACGTAATCGCCAACTCCTTCTCCGAGCTGCTGCTTCCTCTGCAGAAGTTGGTGCATCCGGTCGTGCTCCGTCTGATGGCATCGGAACCTATCCATCACCGAGGCTCGAAGCTGGGACCACCTGTCCACCCTGCAGTGACGCACGTGCACCCAATACCACTCCCGAGCCCGCCCAGTAAGCAGCACGTTGAACTCCGCTGCAGGAACTCCAACCGGAAGAGCGTGGTCCTGCTGCAGCTCGGTGTCCTGTGGTCCTTGTTGCTCTCGTTGCAGTCCCTGGCGCAAGCGGAGTCCTGGGCAACCCTTCCGATATGCGCGGCAAAGCGCCCTCCACATCCGTGGACCACATCTTTTCGTCGTCCTCGCCTGGAAAACCCTTCGACCGAAGCAGGTGATCATGCTTGCTGCCTTGTCGCTTTGACATCCTGAATTTTGGTAACCCATAACACGACTTCTAAAAACCCTAATTACCCCGAATTCAATGGGACCACTAAAAACCCAAATTATATATAAATAATTAAATTATGCTGAATGCTAGTAAATAATAATAAATAATAAATAAATACCACTAAATAATATGCACCTAAATAATACGAATACTTATATTACAAGGCCAATAAATAATAATAACAAATAAATAAGAAAATATATTAACGACCAACAAATACCTAAGGCTAAACAAATTCACACTAATAATTAACTCCTAACAAAAAAACCAGTCCCTTAAGTCTAAATTTCTTTTTCTATTGTTTTCCAGCCACAATAAGGGGAGATGGAGCCGATCACCAGCCGGTAGACTCCGCGCCAGTCGTCTTGCGCCTACAATTCCGTCCGAATTCTCTCTAAACAAGCCGCTCTTCAACTGGACTAACTTTCAGCCGTGCTGAAAGTCGCCAGTTAAGGAATTCGACTGTTTACAGGATCTCATAGGATTTCCTTTTGGAGTTGCACTTTTCATTCAAGTCGCGGTGGCCGAGCAGCGCGTGAGGACGTCACGGGTCACGACCACACATTTAAGTTTGAAACCGATATGATATGAACACGCAAATACCAAGAAAACCCAAGGATCTGCACAAAACAAACAACTACACTGTAACCCCAAAACAAAACATTCATTAAAATTAAGTTAACAAAAACAAGAAAGAAAGCAAACTTCGGCAAGCCGAAGTTCATATACTCTTGCAGCTATTGCAAGAATTAAACATTTTGAAAATATTAAAATTATGATTTACTTGCGTATATGTTCAAAAACATTGAAGCTATGATAATTTGCAGCTCAATTATTAGATAGTTATTTTATATATTTTTATTATTTCTTTGGGAGCTATATGATATAGTCGTCCGATTTTGATGAAATTTAAACCGTAATTCTAAAATATTAAACCATTACTATATGTCAAAGAACTAATAGAAAAATTTGAAAACAGCAAAGTTAAAATTTTTTTTGTATTTTTTTAATACAAATTTAATTCTGAAATATTTAACCATTACTATATGTCCAAGAACTAATAGAAAAATTAAAAAACAGCAAAGTTATAATTTTTTTTGTATTTCTTTTCCGATTGTTCCTACGGGAGCTATATGATACAGCCGTCCGATTTTGATGAAATTTAAAACGTAATTCTGAAATATTTAACCATTACTATATGTCCAAGAACTAATAGAAAAATTAAAAAACAGCAAAGTTATAATTTTTTTTGTATTTTTTTCCGATTATTCCTATGGAAGCTATATGATATAGGCGTCCGATTTTATGAAATTTAAACCGTAATTCTGAAATATTTAACCATTACTATATGTCGAAGAACTAAAAAGGAAATTAAAAAACATCAAAGTTATAATTTCGTTTTATTTATTTTTTCGATTGTTCCTATGGGAGCTATATGCTATAGTCGTCCGATCCGGCTCGTTCCGACTTTTATACTACCTGCAATAGAAAGACAACTTTTGGGAAAGTCTCATGATGATAGCTTTAAAACTGAGAGACTAGTTTGCGTAGAAACGGACGGACAGACGGACGGAGAGACGGACAGGCGGACATGGCTAGATCGACTCGCCTAGTGATGCGGATCAAGAATATATATACTTTATTCGGTCGGACATGTCTCCTTCACCGCGTTGCAATCTTCTGACTGAAATAATAATACCCTCTGCAAGGGTATAAAAATATGTCCCAAATACCTATATCACAGTTATATCACAGTTTTTGGTTTAACCTTTCGTGCTTATTGCACGGACGACCTGGGATGCGAATCCTTCGATTTCCTTCGAAAAGGATGTCACCGCCAAATCACAGCTAAACCCTGAAAACTGTGCCTCGGGAGCAATTGTCCTATCTCTAGTGGACACGCCTTCCTTTCTCCCTACAAAATTTAAATTTTCTCCCCCAGTCCACATCCACGGTGCAATTACTTGTGGGTCATGCAAGCCACCGTTCGTGGGCTGGCTGGAGATATAAATATGCGAGACGCCGTCGACTCGGTTATCACATATTTTGTTTGTTAATTTGGGCGCCATATTGTTATGGAACTGCATTTTTCCCGGAGGGCAGCGTCGGCTAGCCACGGAGTCCCAAGGCGGAGTACCCCCTATGCCCTGCAGTCCAAACAATCGATACCGGCTCATAGGACGTCTCACGTCACTGACTTGACGATTACCATCCCTATCACAAATCAAAACAAACAAGGTATTTTTTTTACATCAAAAACTAAGACAATTGGACGAAATTGGTGGCTTCGGTGTCCTCTGTGCCCCAAGAATGATATTGGAGGCACACCCCATTTCCGGCAGACCGGAGTCTATTCCTGGTGGATTAGGATCGGCTCATCTCACCGCCCAAAGTTACTCACACAACCATCTCGGTAGCTTGTTTACATTTAATTTTGGGTAAGATTAATTATAGAATACATTCAAATTTAATTCCTACTCATGATCTACTCTTTTTATTAGCAACACTTAAGGCTGAACTCAGACCGTCGCCTAAATAAGAAGAGGTCAAAGCGATAATGGAAGGTACATTTTTAAACGCTTAAAATTACAAGTGTTTGGGTAAAAACGCCACGGATGTGAATTACATGACACCAAATTGGAGGCGTTTGCCAACCGGGTCACCTAATCCTGAGGAGCTCCAAAGGAAAAGAAAGGACGTGCTAAAAGGGTAAGTACGCTAAATAAATCCCTTAATTCATTAAATTTTGCAACCCAATTTTAACGTAGTTTGACGCGCGGCTGGGGTGCGGAATAAATGCCTCTACTTCCAGATTAGATTTCACAGTGAGTGCCTTGAAACAATTCTTTGACTGCCTGATTTCACAAATTAATAACTAAAACTAATTTATTTCAGAGTTCAACGTCGGTCATTGTCGAAGCTGTGCTGCTGGTGGACGACGTGGTCTTCACGACCAGGTTAGGTCCACCTGGTAAGGTTTTCCTTCCCGAATCTTTTAAATTTCCGGGGCCCTTTAGATAGGGTCCCCGGCGGCTTCAATATTTAAAAAAAAAACACTGACATTTACAAGTTTAGGACTAATAAATAACTACTCACTTTGAGTTATCTAAACACTTATTACGAATTTTCGTATCAATTTTTCCCGACCGTTCTCCTACGACTTCTTGCAGTAACTAAAGCAAAACCCTGACCTACACCAAAGTCGCTCGCCATTTCTCTCCCGCTCTCCCAAAATGGGTCAGTGAACGTATCCAAGGCTATTTAACCCAGTTAACGAGCGGACCGGGCCAAATTTAAATAGCTAAATCCTCTCCCCGCTATCAACAGTCGGTGTCACCACCAAATCTTATCGATAGCGGGACCTGCTGACGTATCGGTTGATTTGGTATTTTCCCGACGGCTTCAATTAAAAATGCAACAAGCAAAACAAAATCTAGTTGAAATACGCCTTGCATGTTTTGTGACTTTCTTCGTAAAGCTGGTAGCTGACGAGAAAAATCCAGAAAACTTCAAACCGTCATTTAAAAAAAGAACGAGCGATCAGTTATTTGGACCGGCTTAGCATCACCAAACTTTTATCGATATTTTAAAAACTATCGCTTAATTTCTCATCTCTTGATACATTTTTTATTTTTCTCGGACAAACAATCAGTTCACACTCGAACAACATAATACTTCTTTTTTATTGAAATACCGTTAAGATTTTTGAAATTTAATATTTTGGTTTTATTACTGTTTTTTTATTTTGTAGTATGTTATCTATATTCAGTAGCATTTTTGGATTATTTTTCTGTTTGTTATGGGTTTTTTTCAGATATGGTGAGAAAATTTAGGAGGGAATTAGAAGAACGAATGGACGATGGAGAGAAAAGCGCCGCAGGCAAATATCGCGCGATTTTTGTTTAAAGAATGTGCTTGTCGATGGCATTCATCAAACCGATATTACTTCAATAGCATTAACGAAAATGATAATGTTTCGATGAACGTTAAGCAAGTTTGCTCATCTCAATGCCGTATCGGAACAATTACTTCGTCCCTCGTTTAAAATTACGGGTAAAAAAAACCTATTTTGGACGATATCTCGTTTAAAATAAGCTTTACGCAAAAGTGTCACCTAACATAAAATGGTAGATCATCTACTCTTGTTTTCATGTGTTTTTAATAAATGTAAAAAAAAACATAGATAACGGTTTTTACCGTTTTTCCAAGAAATTTGTCTTATAGCCTGATTCCATTGCCACGTTAGTGGACTTTTTAAATGTACCTGTTTACATTGGCGCATTAGCATTCAGATAATGCTTCTGCTAATGCTCAGCAGGACATCCATTATGCTGTCCGAGGTATTTGCCAGCTTGGACGACAAGAAAGAGAAGCTGATTGTGTCGTTATGACGGGTTTGCAGTGGAGACCACCACAGTTTCTAAAAAGGGAAAGTATCCCCTTATATGTGGGAGAAATGCATTGTGGTACTGCGAGCAGAAATTGCAGCATGCCCTCTAGGTTTCAGTCATTTTTATACAAAATACATTATATATTCAAAAGACATCAAAAATTGCGCCAATCTTGAATATCGAAAACATCTGTTGTAGTGGTGGCACGAACCAAATATCGTTAAGCATCGGTTATTTCCGGTATATTTCCTAAAAATGGTTTTTAATCGCATTTAATAATCGCATTTATTTTAAATGCGGCATTTAGCCGTATGGGATCCCCTGTGTAAATAAATGCGCATTACCCTAAATGCGTTTTAATGCGCCAATGGAATCAGGCTATTAGTAAAGACCCTAAAGCACATGGATCGCGAAAATTTGAAAATGACTTATCGACACATTTTTCACACTAATGCCTTCTTTCCACACACAGTCCATCCGTTGGAAACGGTTGGAAATTTCAACAAATGTGAAACTCCAATTTCCACAGAGCACATCAACCTTCAATTTCAGCTGATCCACTGGACTAATAAATAGTAAATAGTAAATAGTAAATGAGTAAATAGTAAATAGTAAATAGTAAATAGTAAATAGTAAATAGTAAATAGTAAATAGTAAATAGTAAATAGTAAATAGTAAATAGTAAATAGTAAATAGTAAATAGTAAATAGTAAATAGTAAATAGTAAATAGTAAATGAGTAAATAGTAAATAGTAAATAGTAAATAGTAAATAGTAAATAGTAAATAGTAAATAGTAAATAGTAAATAGTAAATAGTAAAATAGTAAATAGTAAATGTTAGTAAATAGTAAATAGTAAATAGTAAATAGTAAATAGTAAATAGTAAATAGTAAATAGTAAATAGTAAATAGTAAATAGTAAATAGTAAATAGTAAATAGTAAATAGTAAATAGTAAATAGTAAATAGTAAATAGTAAATAGTAAATAGTAAATAGTAAATAGTAAATAGTAAAAGTAAATAGTAAATAGTAAATAGTAAATAGTAAATAGTAAATAGTAAATGTAGTAAATAGTAAATAGTAAATAGTAAATAGTAAATAGTAAATAGTAAATAGTAAATAGTAAATAGTAAATAGTAAATAGTAAATAGTAAATAGTAAATAGTAAATAGTAAATAGTAAATAGTAAATAGTAAATA